AAGATCAGCACTTTGCGGGCAACAGGAACGGTTCTGCGCTTGAACAGCTTCGAAAAGCGGGCAAAGCCGGACCTTGCAGCACCAATCCGTTTCTGCAGTTCCGCTTGCAAAGAGCCATTTGCTTGCAACTGCGCTCCAAGGTATTTAAGCTGAACAGGGTAGCCTTTCCATTCACAACTGAAAGCACGCTTCGCGGCGTTGTAAGCACCCTTGCTTTTGCAAGACAACAGTGTTTCACCCTTCCTCGCATTCAACTGCAAGTTGCGGGGGTCAAGCTCGACAGTCAAGGCATGCGTGCACGCAAGTGTGCGATCTTCAATTTGTTTCAAAGTGCTACCACATTGGATGCGAACAAGGTCATCCGCATAGGCGGCAGCGCTGAGCGAAAGGCTGTGACCGTTGTAGCTAACTATCAGATCGTTGTCACGAGTGGCATCACGCCAACGTGTGATGCACGCATCGTAGACCATTCGAAATATGCGCGGACCAGTTCCGCCGCCTTGCAACACACCTGACTCAAGCTTCATTTGCAAGGTCGCACCATCATTTTGCTTCAAGCTGAAGCGCAAGCGGCGATGCAAATCAAGAAGCAGCTCACGAACTGACACCGGCATCGGCTCAGTGTGGAGAAGATCTTCAACGCAGCTGAAAGCCAATGTGTCGAAAGCTTTGGTGAGGTCGAAAACAGTGGCAGCAGAACTCAAACCATTCGCCCTGAGACGGTCGAGCCAAGCTTCAACATGCAGGATGGTATCACGACGGGACCGGCGGGATGCATAGCCATATTGGTGATCGGCTGGCTGATCAGGCACAAGTTGAATCAAAGCTTTGTTTGCTTGCAGGATCAAGCAGGTTGATGATGCGTTGCCCATTTGGACCGCAAACACCACCAGGCTTGGGCAGTGGGCAGCCCTCTCCATCGCACCAACCTTGAGGGTTGCAACCAACACGCTGCATGCTTTCAAAGACCCCCATGCAAATCTCCGGAATACAGGACACACTGACAGGACACAGGGCTCGAGCCTGTAAAAGGAGCTGCCAGAGCTCAGCTGGTAGACCGCCTCGAGGGGTGGCGCGTCCACGTGCCTGGGTTTGTGCCGCCTTCAGCAATGCCTCACGACCACGCTCACCGGCAATTGCAGGCTGCATTTGTACGGAACAAGTCTGAAAGTCTGAGATGGGCACACAACAGCCTGAGTGTTTTCACGGCCGTTCCAAACATCACGCATGTGTTGCTTCCATTGGCTTCTGCTGATCAAGCGTGCGGCGGGGACAACACGGTCGTACACTTTGCTCGGTCCATGTCCAGCTAACTGCCGACTGACGACCCAAGCTTCACGTGAATCATGCATTTCCACAACACGTTGAAGCTTCGAGTCAAGCTTGCAGAGCCATGCTTTCTCTTCGCGCTTAACCGCAACCTTGGCTGCAGCTCGAAGGCGGGAGTATCTGAGCGACAGCTTGAACAAACGGAAAAACCAGGCAATCGGCCGCCAGATATTGTTGGCACTCCAACTTTCAATGAAGATTTCAACGTGGTCAAGCAAACTGACCTGCTCGGCAGTGCGAAGCTGCAAGAGATCAAACGTTCCGGGGAGTATTTTGCAAGACTTCTGGGAAGGGCGCATTGAGAAGTGACGAACAGCAACTTGGTGTAACTCGGACTGCAAATGCTGCCAATGATGCTCCACCTCCTCACGACTGGGGCGGTCAGGTAAGCTGCGAGGCACATCACGCAAGCCCTGTGCCCATTCACGAAGAAATTTCTTGCCGACTGACACATCATCAAGAGCAACCTGCAAAGCATGCCTGTTCCAGCGAACAGTCAGAGTGCTGCGTTTTGACAAAGTCCACGGTTTCGGCAAGGCAACAACAACCTCAACAGGCCAGTGATCACGGACCGGAGACATTTGCCATCGTTTGCCGAGGACTTTGTTGACTCTGCATCGCCTCACACGCGCGCGAAACTCAAGAGGTACAGCAATGAAATCAATGCAATGGCTGTGAAGTCCGTCCGGTGTCCAGCATGTGGGACCCCAGCCACTGTATGTGTTCGCAAGCAAGAGTCCAGCCGACTCACAAGCATGCACCAGCGACATTCCATTGTTGTTGGTCACGTCCGTAGCTTGAGGACCCACAGCTGTGCCACGTGAGTTGTGGCCCACGTGGCCATTGAAGTCGCCCAGGAGCCAGACATGCGTGCGTTTTGGAACCGAATGCAGGATTTCCATAAGCGCCTGGAAGAGGAGTGGCCTCTGCTCATCGTCACTTTCCTGCGGCGCATATGCAGTCACAAACAGGTCGTCCATCTCTACACCCTTCGTGCGGCTGGTAATGCGCAGACCTCCAAGGCGACCATGCAGGCTACGAGGAGGATCCAAGCGAGTGTGAATGCAAGCAGATTGCAGCAGTCGATGGCTGACGAGCAGCTGCACGCCAAGCATCTTGTTGTCCACAGGCTTGCCCCAGGAGAAACAAGAGAATCTAGCATGACCATCACGGTTGTATACGATCCACTCACTGCGCGGATCTCCAGACTTCCACCTCGTGCCTTGCAAAGCAGCCACCGTAACCCCCAGCTGTGCATGAGCGACTGACAGTTGTACGTTAACAGACTGATCTGATTCAATACCACAGAGGTCTCGCGTCGCTGCGGCAAGTGCTGGCCAGGCTGTTGCAAGTGTACCACCCCATCTTGCCTTCGCAAATGAAAAACTGATCACGCTCAAACCACCAATTTCTGCAAGCATTCATTTTGTCTTTGACGGTATTGATGTCTTGCCAAGGGAAGAAAGCAGCTATCGACCAACGTCTGAGATAAGATTGCCCTTATACCATGCCCAACCTTGTAGCAAAAAGAGCCTGATGGTGCGCATTATGCTGCGTTTGCTGGTGGTTCTTGCACGGGCGTTCCCACCCCTATCGCGAGCATTGGCTTGCATGGCAGTTTGGACTGAGTCCGTGCACTCAGTCCACCCTCACCCCCATCATTTGGCACCGCAGCTGTCCATTGCGAGTGACCCACGGGTTTGGGACCGTGGCTCCCTTGGGCACTGTGGACATTTTGAGCGGAGAGGGGCTTAAGCAGGCAAGCAAGCAAACCAGAGAGGGAGAGAGAGAGAGAGCGAGAGAGACATTTTGGCTCAAGTAATGCACCTGTGCTTGGGGGTCTGTAACGCCCCTTTGCCGGGGGGGAGGCAGGGGGTTGGCCTGAATTGTGACTCCAGGAGAGCCTTCCTGTCTTCCCCGGCGTTGCTTGAGTCTACATACCCGTTGCCACTTTGTTTAAGAGGCCCCTTGTAGGCTCGCTCAACCTGGAACCTGACCGCGGCCCTTCTTCGGAAGGTGGCCCGCTAGTAGGGGGAAAGGGCATACTTTGTGCCGGTGGACCACACGGTGATCTCGCAAAGTACCGGTACCACGTCTACTTCGATGGCAAGCTCTTCAAAAAAACCCACGGCCGGGGGGGAAGACGAGCAGAGAAGAAGACAGCGCCTGAGGTCTCCATCTGCAAAGCCAGCTAAGGTTAACACCACCTGGGAGGAGCAACGTAAGCTGGCTGAGGTGCTCAAGGAGATGGGGATGACCTGCGAAGCGTGCCTGCAGGGCCCCTTCTGCCACAAAGCTCACGAGCCGGGGGAAGGATGCTACAAGACCATGGTCGCCAACGGCACGTTCACCAGTACGGGGAGAGCATGTGACCTCCGACGCGGGGGAGCTGCGCAGAAAGTGCTGGTACAGACTCACAACTCTGAAGACACTGGAGGCGGGGGAAGCGGAAAACCATGGGAACGCTATGTCCGCTTTGAGACGGAAGGTGGCCTGGCGTTGTTGTATGAGCCAGGGCCTTTGGACCGGTGGATCGGGAGAAACATCCGCTACCTTTGGCGTTCCCAGCAATACGTGGACTGGGCGACGGGGGACCCACTGCCAGAGGACGAAGTCGCTGGCTACAAGTGCTACCTGCAGCGCCACAACGAAAGGCGAGCCACCGGCAGAAATGCCGACAAATTGGTGGAGCTGGTGGGGAAGCACAACCCACGTATAGAAGAGGAGCTGCGGATCTATGTGGGGAGGTTTCCGTGGAAGGTCGCCCCACTTTTGTCCCAAGCGAAGCGTGTCTTCAACAAAACTCGCGAGGGGGACGAGCCAGAGAAGCCCGAGCACAAGAAGACCGCGAAGGGGGAGAAGACCGTGCACAAGAAGACCAAGAAGGAGGGGAAAGACCGAAACCGCCGCAGAGACAAGAAGGAACGCAGAGACAAGAAGAGCAAGCCCGAGGACGAACCAAGCCGGACACCTGCAGCAGTGGGGGAGGAGACACTCCCGACAATGGGGGAGACGGACCTTCCTGACCTCGCACCGGACTGGGGAAGCGACAGCCATGATGAAAACGTCGACCAGGACGACGCCAGCCTGACTCCGGGGGGGGCGACACAACCCGCGGCCAGTTCGAGCTCAGCAGTGGGAGCTCAAAGGCCTCGCTCACCAAGCCGAAGCCCTCTGAGAGCCAACCTCCGGCCAAACGCAAGTTGGAGGGCAGTGCAGCGAGTCCAACAGCACATGCGGGCCAGCTATGAACGACGATGCTGAACAAAGTGAGTGAAGGCGTGTGTAAAAAGTTTTGAGGGAGCGAGCGGGGGGGATGTGTCCTTTTGGGGTTTGCTTGCTTTGACTTCGGGGGATGACACTGACCCGCCCTCGTTCCCCTAATGCAACCTCGCTGTCATGCGCCTGCACATACCTTCGGTCTTTCGTTGTGACCTCACCGTATGCCTGAAAGTACCAGCAAAGCTGCGTCCCGGTTTGAATTTTTTGTGCGGGCCGACATGGCCCTTCTCAGGCAAACCCTCACTCAACGGGCTGGACAAAAAGCTCACTCACTCATGTCGCAATGTGGGTCTCAGATCCAGAGCGCTACATGCAACCCCCAAAAACACATCTGCTGTAGATGTGCAGGGAAGAGATTGAAAAGAACGCATCGAGGGAGCGACGACAAGCTACGACCTCGACGACAGAAGAGTAGAGCGATGAACTGCAACCTGACGCAGAACGAGATCAACAGGGAACAAGCGCCCCCCGGTTCTCAGCTGCTGCGTCACAATCGCTGCACACTCGGGATGAGCCGCAACGAATACCGGAAAGCCGGCATTGGAGTCCGCCCAAATCTTCGCTGTAGGCATAAGCGCTCGCCAGAGCTGAACGACCAATCCGTTCACAACACTGGGAAAAAGGATGCCGCCACCTTGCTGTACATGATGACAAGCCATCCGAAAGGAGACAGTGGCATCCAGCAACCGCCGAAGCATGCGGGGTGGCTCAGCCTTGTCATCCCGCTCACAAGAGTCCAAGGCCTGCCGGAGGAGTCGGAAGCCAGGTCGACACCGTGAAGACCAGGGAGAACCTGCTGCAGAGTAGCCCAAAGACACCAGTATCGATTCCAGCACGATGGCAGCAACCAAATAGCGGGTGCCTGGACCAAGCGATGCCACAGAGGAGAAGGCACCCGCAGAGCCCTGGTCATCCTCGACGCTGCCTTCTGCCTCTGTCTGGAACCGCAGCCAACGGGGCCGCACCTGAGGCGGCTTCGGCTGTTCAGCAGTAGTAGTACTCCCAGTGCCGTCCGGACCGTCCTGTAGCTGAGGTGCAACCTGCAAAACGTCATCAGCAGGCACTTCAGCTGACGGCCACGCATAGACATCTGCGGATCCCAGGAGCAGGAGTCGCTCCTGGCGGAGCTCATCCTCTGTGCACAGACGGCCAGCAGCAGCGGCAGCTCGTTGGGCAGGTGTAGCGTTGAGAGGGCCCGGCAGTCTCAAAGCAGGCAGCCTTCGATGCCTACCAGGGCCACGCCGCTTGGTGCCTGTGCCATACTCGTATGCGTGCCCTACTACAACCCGAAGGCCGTGCATACAGGCAGGGGTGGTCTTCAGATGGTATTTGAGTCGATCAGTTGAAAAGTGCTCATGATGACACCAGAGACAGACAGTGCCATTCGTGTAGTGCGTGAGCGAGCTCACCACAGTATGCTTGCGATGTACGTGAGCTGCGAGCGCCTGCCGACTCGGCAGAGAGGCACCGCACAGGCCGCATCGCATCGGCTGATGTTGCCCAATAACGGCCGTAACTTTGGCTGTCAACATCCCGTCCCAGATGGCCTGCAAGGCCTTGTAAGCCGATCCGTATCTGCTGAGGTGTCGACAGACTCGGAACAAGGCAGCCGCATGTGCGCGTAAAAACTGTCGTGTGATGACAGCAGCCCCACCAGGGAGGCCAGCCGCAACCTCCTGGCATGCAGCAACCAACAGCTCACACCAAGGAATGGACCGGTCCCAAGCTGCCTCGAAAAGCTCCCCAACGCGGGGAGGCGCCTTTAGCAGCAACTGCAGAGTCAACCGCACACGGCTGATGCAACAGGCATCTTCAGGCGTAGACAAGCCGAGAAGCACAACGAGAAGGGGGCGCGACAGGACATGCCCATACCGCCAGGACCCAACAATCTGGCGAGCAGCCCTTTGGAAAAAGCCCATCAAGGGCGCCAATGACCGCTCGGAGGCCGCAACAGTAGTGCACAGTGTCGCATAGGCCGCCGGGAGGACGCGGCCTGCCATCCACGCTTGCTTAAGTCGCCGCGGCAACGCCTTGCAAGCAATATAAGGCTCCGCGCGTGAGACCAAGCGGCATGGGCTCGTTGAACCGCAAGCTCAACATCGCGCCGTCCAGTATCACGTGGGGCCTGCACCACTCCGAGATAGCGATATTCTGGAGCAAAGCGGATTCTGTGCCCCGTAGGAAGAGCAAGCACAGCCGGAGGCGCTAACAACTGACCTCGAATTTGTTTGGCAGATGGTCCTCGCACGTCAACTAGCAACTCCGTTTTGCCTTCCCCAAGATTCACCCGGAACCGAAGAAGCTCCAAAGTGCTGATTGTGATGGAGGCCAGCGTAGGGAGCTGCTCACTCAACTGGGTAGGGCACTCAAAATCTGCCAGAGTGGCCAGATCGTCAGCCCAGTCAAGGGGAAGAACGGAGTCCTCACACCCGACCAACGCCCCGGCTGCCTGAGCAGAGATGCCAGCAGCATGGCAAGCACGTTTGATATGGCGTAGGGCAACAGCAAAAAGAGACCCGAAAAGGACATCGGCAAGACCGTCCCCCGGTCTCGCTCCTTGCGTAGCCAAGAAAGAGACCTCGGATCCCACTAAGCTCCACTGGGAGAATGCCACGCAGTCATAAAGGAGGGCTTGTTCGGCCGCAGAAACACCAAGCAGCACAAGAGCCCCTGCCCGCTGGAGCTGATGAACGAGCTCACCCAAATGAGCCGTATTGGAGGGGTCACCAGCAGAATCGACGGCCAGAAGGGGGTCACCACGGAAGATAAGCTTCCTGCTTACTTCATAGTAAGCGGCCTGAATATCAACGAAGAGTGCCGCCATGCAGCATTGCTGTTGAGTGCACAATCCTACAGCCGCGCGATATGCGGCTACAGCAAAGCTCACAGGAACCCCCCGCCGTCCGCCCAACTGGGTAGACTCGTACCCCTGCAACACCTGTTGCCCGATGGTCTGCCGCAAAATGACCGTGCCACAATTTGGCAACACCGTTCAGTAAAGCGATAGCCCTGTAATTTGCCGGGATCGCAGCTGGGCCCTTCTTGTACAGAGCACAGTAAAGAGCGGCTTTGAAGCCCATTGGCTCGTGTCCACAAAGCGCAATTTTGGTAGTAAGACCCCAAATCCAAAGCCCAGCGTGGACCGGGAAATTACGCCAAATTTCATTTGGGACACCATCTGGACCAGCAGCCTTTTTGGCTGCCTGCCGCCGACACATAGCCTCAGCTTCCAGCAGGGAAGGGATGGCAGCGAAGCAAGGAGGTGCCGGCTGGCTCAGCCAAGCAAGGGTGAGTCTCTGGAGGTCGTCGGCCTCCACTCGCTGGGCACCCTCTTCTCAGCGAAACTGTTCGGCAAGCTCATCATCGATGGCAAACCCCCCTGCTGCATGAACACGGCGTCGCTCCGCCGCCCTTCGGGATGCCCAACGCAGCCCATTGATAGCCTCCAATGGCCGGCCAGTAGCATGCCAGTGCTCGGTGGCTGCGTGAGAAAGTTGGAGGAAACGATTTGCCTTATCCCTGCGAGCAAGCTGGTGTACACGCGACTGCAAAGAGGTCTCTTGCAACTGCAGGGCCGCCACAAACCCCCGACAAGTCCGGTGCCGAGCTTGCAAGCGGTGACGCACACGGCGGGAGCATCCGCGCCAGGTGGCAATGGCCAGACGCAACTGAGCTTGTCGGGTAGCTACCTGCATATGACGAATCTGCCCACGCCAATCTCGGAGGTAGTGCAACCAACGGACGGTGCCCTCTGCAATATAAGGCTGACGTACACGCAACACACGGGGCCCAGAATGGCAGGCTGCATAGCGCTGAAAGCATGTCTGGAACCGGTGGACTAATTCACTACTGCAGCAGGGAGAGCCACTGGAGTTAACAGACTGCTGCCAGAAGGCCAGCCCGAAGTCAGCAACAGCAGCCGGAGGGCATTTGGCCGAGGACTGTCGAGGCGCTCGGGGCCCAGGCCGGAACAGCGTAGTCCGAGCTCGCAGTGCAACATGGTCACGTGCAGAGTTGACCATATCAAAATCCCAAGCCTGGCTCTCCATACGATGTTGCCACCACCCGGTACTAAACAGGAGGTGATCCAGGCGTTTCCGTGCACCTCCTGTGTGCTGCCAAGACCAGCCCTCACCGACTTGAACATCAGGAAAGGTAGCGGGTGATTCCAGACCGAGGGCCGTCACAAATTCAAAAAGAAATTCGTCATTTGACGTGGCCGGTCGGGTGGAGACCAAAGGTCCAATGGCCAGCTCATTCTCGTCTCGGGCGCAAAAATCGCCGTTGGCATCAAGTCCGATCACCAAGGCACGTGAGGGAGGGGCCAACTGAAGTGCCTGCCGCAGGTCCTGCCAGAACTGGTGCGCTTCTGACAGCGGTCGATCCGAATGGGGCGCGTGCGCCGAACAGATACTGACAGGCAACCTTGCATCCAAACAAGTGACGAGGAGAATGCGCGGCTGAGAGACAAGGATCCGGCAGGAGTTCAAGGTCAGAGGTGGCTGCAGCTGCTCCGGCCGGAGCCATACTTCGCAACCGTATTGGCCCTTATGATGTCCTGACCTCCAAGACAGCCAGCCGCCGGTGCTCCATCGGGCCGAGTTGGCACGTGTCTCTTGGAGGCACACGATGTCTGCGGCCATGTCATTAAGCTGCTGGTAGAGAAATTGGCGGCGAGGGCCGTGCCCGGAAGGGTTGAACGGGTTGCTACGGCAATCCTTGACCGTCTGAATGTTGGCCGTGAGGACATGAAGCTCCTGGGAGGGACCAAGAGGCGCAGCAACATCCGGCTGCTGGACAGCCAAAGCGTCCTTGTTGGAAGGCATCCACCCTGAAGACCCCGTTTCAATCCGAAACACCGGGTGGCCACCGCATAGCGAAGCTTGGGGTATCAGCCAAAGCCAACTAAACTGCTCCTGCGCAGAGTCAACATCGAAATGAAAAGCCGGCTGACGGAGCCAAGCATCGTAGGCCAGTCTTGGCAGCTGAGGCGAGGGCATCCGCAAAGGTGTTAACGAGGACGCCCTCGTGACTGTGCACATGGCGAAAGTGAGTGGAGAGACGCGCCTGGACAGCTTGCCATACGGCGCGTGCCCGCTGAGCTCCTTCCCCAGCAGGAGTTGCAGTACCAGCAGCAATTTGTAACGCGGAGGAGTTATCAACAGCAATGGTGACATTACGAGGCCCACATCGGGTGCGCAGGTGCCACAAGTCAACCATGGCAGCACACCACTGGCCCGCTGCCTGCAACGCAGCAATTTCCCCCACGAAGGCCCTCTGCGCCGCACCGGGCGACGATCCCCTGCAGCTAGCCAAGGCGTGTTGGGCAAGGAGGCGGCCGCCCACCCCAAACGACACCAGCGGTGGCGAAACCAGCCCCAGACTACAAAAAGCCCAGGACCCATACTCTTCACCGCTGCCATCTGTCGCAATAAGGAGCTGTTCCGGAGGCCCAGAACTGCCGCGCTCAAAAGCATCCCAAGCAAGGTGCATGTGATAGGGCAATGTAGAGGGGAGTGCATCCCCAAGCCCGTACAGCCACCAACCTTGGTGCAGATGCGCCTGGAGCGAACAGGCAGGTCGGAGATCAAGTCCCCAGCCATCTTCACCGTAAGGGACCCAAACTCCAGGAGCACCCCAAGCAGCGAGATAACAACCCAAAACGGCCAGGCCGCCCCACGTGGCGTGAGATAGCCTCTGGGGGGGGGAGGACACAAGCTGTGCGAAACAGCAGGACACCAGCAGGTAAAACCAAGAAGGTCGAGCCAGGGCGGTCCCCGAAGCAACGCCAGGCAAAGCAGCCGAGTGTGCCAATGCCCAACCTCATCGCCAGACGGCCCCTGCTGGGCTCGAACAACGAGACTAATAACATTAAGAAGTGGGGACTGTCCCAGAACAGGCCGCCATCCCTCGAGCTCATTATTCATCAGGGGACGAATCAAGCCGCCGGCCGGGTCCCAGGACTGAAGACCTGCGAACCCCAGGACACGGCTATACTGAGACTCAGGCCGCCAAAGCACAACCGTACCGACGCCACGAAAAGTGAGAGGCGCACCCCAGAACCCATGTTGCAACGCCTGCTGAAGACTGGGAAAGTCTCGGCAAATGCGGGGCCCGACAGATGGCTCCCATGTAGCAGGCACAACGCCAATACACGTACCTTGAACCAGAAATTCCCGAGTGGTGCGGAGCACAACGCGGTCTTCACAGAGAACTTCGGACAGGTGTGGGAACCACTGTTCCAAGTATTGGAACAACTGAGCACCGGACACAAGCGTCGGGATAAGGACAGGGCGCTCCCACAGCAAGCATAGTGCGAAAGGCTGTGTCATCCGCCAGAGGAACCCAGTGATTCCCATCAACAAGCGGAGACGGGCGTACCAGAGCACAGCCGGTCCAACCCGCTTCCAGCTGAAGGAGAGTCGCACAAACAGCCGGGGCATGGCCGCGTACCGGCCCGAGAATGGGCTCCACAGGTAGTTGTCAGCAGATGCTCGAGGCAAAATCTGCAAGGCAGTGGCGGACCCCGCGACAGCGGCGAGGACCAGAAAACTCCAAATTGGGCGGCGAAGGCCAGCAAAGAGAGCGAGCGTCCAGCCCAGACCGAGAAAGCGGCCGGCAGATCCACTAGCCGTGCCCGGGGGAAGGTGAACTATATCACCGTCTCGCAAGGGCGCCCAACCGCACGCCACAGGAACTCCTAACACCGAACATCTGCTTTGCTCCCGATCCAACAAGATGGCACACGTAGCAGCATCGGCCATCGTGTGTACCGTATGGCACTGGCCGGCAAGGTGCGAGCCTACCTGGGTCTCAAGGACGACATTGCGTAAGTCGTCGTGCTCAGCACGCTGGCACAAGTGAGGCACATTGCCATAAGCCCACGGGACAGGAGTCCACGTCCCGGGTACCTGGTTTGGAAAGGCCCCAGGAAGGAGCCAGCGTCGGCCTGCCAAGTGACCGGCACAGGCACAGTAGTAGCAATCGGTCGCCGCCCTGGCCTCCATAGAACAACAGAGAGGGCGCCCTCAACCTGAAAGTCCATAGCCCATAAGGCAGCATGGCGAACAACCGCAGCAGAACGCAAGATAGGTACCTCATAGCCTCCAAGGTGTTGATCAACCCCAAAGGCCAACACGAGGTCACCGTCCCTCCAGTCAATCGGCTCCTGCGCACTATCAGTTGGCCGATGAGCTCCGAGGGGTGCACGCAACATCGTGATGGGTCCCGGCGTGTTTTGCCGCAGGTATGCGAGAAGCCGCGCTAAGTCAGTCCTGCTCGGCACGAGAACAGGCAAGTGCCAATCCGCAGCAGAGACATATAGGCATGCCAGCCGTGGCGAGGGCGCCACCGGTACAAAATGCAGGCGAGATTGAGAAGGAGCAGGCCAAACCGGCACAATCTCTTCCCAGGCAGGTTCCGAGCCCGCCAAGGCAAATCGCACATCCTCTTCGGTCGTATCAGGAGTAGCGACCATCGTAAGATCATCTTCGTGGACAGCAAAAGGGGACACTAGACAGCAGGTTTGCTGGTCTCGCACCGCCTCATGTAAGGCCCTGTCATCAGTCGGCAGGCGCCACGGATAGTGGCCAACAGGAATAGGCTCTTCGACAAAAGCCTCCGGAACATGCATCATGCCACGCACAACCATAGCCACCCCAAGGATGAGGCCGCGACGCCCCAGTAACGAAAAAGAGATGCCAAGCCCTGCAAAAGTGCCAGGTGCCACAGCAAAACTATGCAAGGCTGGGATCAAGACATCGCCATCTCGAAGCTGAGGGTTGGGCGAACGAGCACCGAGATCCGGCCTAAGTCGAAAGCCAGCGGGCAATGTATCAGGCGCCGTGACATCAGGGATAAGGCAGCAATCCGGAGGCTCCCCCTGATAAGGTCGATCAAGAAGAACATGCGCACAAGCCCGGGGCGACTGGTAAACAAAATGACAGCATCCATCGCTGCAATAGGCGGCAGGCACCCAGCGAGTGGCGTCCGGTGCAAATCGTGGTCGCACAAATTGAAGACAGTTGGAAAGCCACATGCTGCCGTCATAAACATAGTGTTTTTCCCCTCGCAGAACGGGGTCTCCATCCGGACCCCGCACGAACACCCAACCGCCACGGCGTATTCGGAAGGTAGTGGACCAACAAGAGAGGTGTGGCAGCCAGCGCAGCGATCGATGGACCGGGACCTGGCGAGGGCGAAAGGCACTATGTAAGGTATTGACTTGCTGCTCCAGAAAGTCCCCGTCCCTGAGACTAAGAACCCAATGGCGATCTTGCGCAAATTTAGCTAAAGAAGGTGGCAGCACCAGGGCGGCACCGGGAACCAAGCCTATTTGCTGACACAAGCGCTCAAGGTCTTGAGCGCGGACATCGCGCGGAGCGAGCAAAGCGCGCGCCCGATCATGCGAAGCCAAAGCGATGACAGCGACGTCGAAGAGCGCCCCCGGCAGGAGAAGCGTGCGAGTGTCAGCCAAGGTAGGAGCGAGCGGCACATACGAAGTCGGCCAAGGGCCACACCGACGCCTGACCAAGTCCAAGAATGTAACATGGGCGGACTCACGCGAGAAATGTGCCGGGCCCCCAATACCAGACAAGGGACACAGGATACTGTAGTGCCCAATGCTGTGGCTAACAACCTCAGACATCGGCTGAGGGTGGTCGGGCCGCCAAGCCCCCATCCGCGGGCTGGGTTGACTGGAACCAGAGGAGCGCGAAGGGCTGCGCGAGCGGCCGTTAGCAGGAGCGGCCATTGTAGGAAGCAGACATCCGAGACAGGGAGGAGCCCAACCGAAAAGAACACGGCACAGGGCCAGACAGGTGCCCGCGCTCCACGCATGGCGGCTAGCCCTTCCAAAAGGCAGACCAACAGAGTCCAGGACAACATCCCCATCACGAAGGCGAAGCGGTGCAGTAACATCATCGACAAACATCCCCAGGACACTGATCGTGGCCGGCAGGGTGTGGAGCTCTGTGGCAAGCTCAGCACGTGAGGTGTCAGCCGTGAACTGCAGGGGCAGAATACCTTCGTGGCTCTCATGCAAAATATGTGCTCTGCGCCCGCGAGGAGGACTGAATGAGGTGCACTCCGGGGCCAGGGTGCCAAGGCACAGGAGTCCAACTACCCCAATGGGACACCCCCAAACGTGTGCCTGACTGGGTCCCAGACAGCAGCTTCCTCGACAGCGACGTAGCGGGGACTGGCGTGGTCAGGGTCCCATATAGCGCAACCATAGCAACGCCAGCTACCCGAAATGGGCGGAACCAAGGGACAGGGTCATATTCAAGATCGACGAGAGGGAGCCGCATGCCTGGAGCAAGTGCCGGGCCGACTTCCAGAACATCACCGGTGCGTAGCCGCAGCTCAGCATCCGGGCGCAGTTCATGTGCTACCGCTAGCCCTGGGGGCACAGACAGCTGCGTAGCTTCCCAGCCAGTTAGGTATTGCACAGCACGCAACAAACATTCCAGCGTGCATCTGCCAGGCATCAGGAGCGCGCGCTGTACTTCACCATTGCGAACCACAACACAAGCACACCTGTCAGCACAACCGATCTCAGGAACGAAGACAAGGCGATCACGGTGAGAAGCGCCGGCCAAACTGGCATGCCACCACGAAGCCAGGAACCGCGGTCGATTTGGTAGTGTTCAGGAAAGTCCCGGGTGCCTTGCGGTCCCGTCATCGGGCAAAGGAGCGTGCGTCGGCAGCCGGACCCAGCGCTAATAGACGAGAGCGTGCGGGAGGAAGCAGGGATCCGCCACGGGTAGGCTTGAACAAGGACAGTCGTCCGATCCCGCCCCGGTCGTCCCAAGGGATCGCGAACTGCTTGGGCAAAGCAAGGCAAGAACAGTACCAGCCACGGCCGCCGTAGTGCTTCTGCAAGAAGTCAAGGAAGCAAGTGAAGAAACACTGCGCTCATTGACAGGCCGTGGGACAGGAGGGCCGAAAGGTCCAAAGTCAACAGCTAAGCAGTCACCGTCCCGAAGGTACACAGGCCTACTGTAGTATCGACGCTCCGGATAGGACGCGGAAACCCGACCTAGCTGACTCCGCACGTCCCAAGCTGACCGAGCCGGGAGCGCCCGACGCAGACACATAGCACGAAGATCAGACCCCGATCGAACAAGCACTGCAGCAAGCTCGGCGTTCGCCGCCGCAGGGAGGAGATGAATAGCATCGGCATCTGGCTGTGGTTGCGCGCAGACCAGGTTGCCATCCGCGCCTGGCGGCGAAATCGCGGAGAAGGGCTCGAAAGGCCTGCCCGGACCCCACAAGGGGAGAGAGTAGTTGGCAAGTTCCTCCTGCATCAAAGGGGTCGTGAACCGTTATAGGGCACCCTGCAGGCAGAAAAGGCGTCGGCAAAGGGTGAGCCAGTGCCACTTCAGCCATAGTGGCCACCACCCTACTCTGTAGCGCCGGGATAACGGCAGGATCAAAACCTTCACTCACAGGGGCCCAAGTACCGGACTGAGGTGCCCCGGTGCTAGCCATAGCATCGTCAATAGGTCTAAGAACCCGACTAGCCCCGTCACCTATCCCAGCGAGCTCCCTGTCTGGTGTCGGGGCCGCAAGATCAGTAAGGTCAGGCGAACTCGGCTCAGGCGGCGCCGCCTCGGAGGGACTATCATCCCCGTCAGCCAAGGCTAATGGAGCAACCTGAAGGCAGGTAACAAGAAGAACCCACACCTGGGAGCCAGAAACTAGGCTGTGGTGATGCCACATACCAAACATGGGGATAGTTCTGAGCAGTGGTCGCATGAGACGCGGCGTCCCAGATTCAGGTGCATCTGGGGCAACTTCCGCTGCGGTGGCAGGATCCGCAGCCGGGAGAATACCTGCAGACTCCAGTCGAGTCGCCAACATATCAACCTGATGACTGACCTCAGTGACTTGACGAGACAGATGATAAGGAACTGCCTGGGAATCATGCCTCCCGGAAGACGAGGTCCGGTCGACTGGCAGACTCTCAGTGGTATGAGGCACAGCACTCGCGGGCCGAATCTGGCAGTCTATACTCCCGTCCAGCGGCCGTTCCGCCTGAGGACCAAGGCAAATGTCGTAGTCAAAACGCAGGCAGCTGGGTGCATCAGGAGGAGTATCCCACGAAGAAAACCCATGTGCGGCCGGAGGCTGCGATCGGATTAGCGTGATAATGGTACCTGGCGCAGGAGGTGGTAACTGAGTTCCATATGTAAGAACACGGCCAGCGTGCCAAACCGCAAACGCTCTGGGGCCTGAGTCCGGAGACCATGGCTAGCGCCAACGCCAATGGCAATCTCAGCAAGCACCAACCCATCGCGCGTGAGATAACCCAGAACCCGTGAGAGTGGGCCCGAGATCACTGCACGCGCCCCCATCGGGATGCGTCGAAGAGCTGCGACTGCCGGGGAACACACCAACCCGTGAGCTTGCCCGTGGGAGTTAAGAGTGGCAACGTACTGGGAGGAGCCATCACGCCACTCACCGATGGGTCGCAGCAACTCGCGAGAGAGCCCATCACGAACAATCCACCAAGGCGGACCTTCCCGGGGGCACGAAACCAGTTCTAACACAGTCGCCTGCGTATCATGTGCAACATAAAGAGCCGATGTGCTACTCCGATGCCCGGCCTCCCAGAGATCAGATTCAAAGGCCTCAAATGTGCCGGCAGATTGTATTTGGAACCAGGAAGGTCCGCGAAATGGGAGCCACAGCGCGAGCAAGGAGTCTGAGCCCGAGTCCGAAGACCGCTGCCGACAAGAACTCCAAACCCAGTGGGGGGTAACCGCGAAATGCGTGCTCTGACATGACAGAGCATAGCACCACCCGCATTGCTCCGGTGCAGGATTATCAGGAAAAGGCCCAAGCAAATTGTCCTCAGACTCATCGGGCGTGCTCTCGCCGTGAGTGCGTGTCGCAGCAGCACGCCAAATGCAACCAGCTAAGATCCAAGTGCGAAGCCGCCCCGTAAACAGAAGAGCAGCGGCCGAGGCGGCGCCGACAGCGGGATCGGAACTCCAAGTAGTAGCATACCGCGAGGCAGTCTGGTTAGAAATGCCAGACCGAGGGGCTTCCGGACGGTGACCAGAGGTCGGCAATCCAGCAACTGCACGGTAGTGAGCTTCACATAACACCGGGTCGCGGCCCTCATGGAAGAGATGTCCACACTGTCCGGCCAACGAGGCAATGTCAGCCGGCCACTTCCAAGTTTGGTGGTCGCCATGAATCTCAACACCCGGAAGGTCCCAAGTGGATAAGCCACCAACACGCATGACATCGGCCCATTGAACCCCAGCAGTGCATGCCGCATGCCGCATACGCCCAATGCCCAACACGCACTGCCCACATGTACAGAGGAGGGCTGCATGGTATGCGGCAGGTCACTCCTAACCCGGGCTTCTTCCACCTGCGACACACTCCAGCCATGATCGATAGCCCGACAGAAATCAAGTCCAAGATGGACAAATCTGCACACCGTACCGGATCGAGTATGATGGGCCGGGGTATGGACCTGATGCATGATGGCACGACCACGGGAAAGAACATCAGCCCAAAACCCGTCATGAGGCGTACCTTGACGAGCTAATCGCAGTAGCTCTGGTAGCGTGCCATCAGTGCCTTCCACGACTCCAACAATGGGCCTGTCAGAGCAGCTAGAGAGGTCCGTAAGAACAACCGCAAGGACAGCAGAACCACTGGGCAGGAGACAAAACAAGTCCAAGGCATACTGACGTAGTGGCAGCCGGAGTAGCTCAACAATATCGCCACTGTCAAAATTATGCCAAGCCCCAACAGCTTCCTCAAGTGGCGTATGTGCAAAATTACGGGGTACTTGAAAGTGGCAGAGTCCAAAGGGCATGCCAAGCACCGCGACAGTCACGAGTTCTTCTAACCACGTCTGGCCAGGCAAGGCCGCAGGGGACAAAGAAAACTGACCAATCTCAACCGGCCGGTGCCGCTGATCAAGCTTGGCAGAGATGACATCACCGTGCCGTAAAGGGTGCGCTGGTCCGAGGTCGAGCCGAAAAGTGCTCCCAGGATGCAGGAGCTGCAGCGCGTGCAAGATGGCCTCCCCAGCATTGTGGCGCGGGACATCGAGACAGTCCCAACTTGTACCGCTGTCGACTAACACTGTGACCAGGTGAGGTTCCCGAGCCGGCGCAACAAATTGAATGCTATGATCGAAAAACTGCGGTTGGACAAGTACCGGGAAAGTCCGAGCGTCCGGGATCGCAGACCGGAACAATGCATTTTGTAGTTCCTTAGACGACTGATCACCGCTGACAGAAAAGTGGAACGCTCCACCAGGTGTAAACACCTTCGCCAAGAAAAGCGCAGACGGGGCAGCAGATCTGTCAAGAGGGCACTCCCAATCGGCGCACACCCAGTCACTGCCAGACTGGATACGACGTGCAAGACGAGCGTGTGCAAAAGGGGAAGCAGTAGCGATCGGCGGGAGGTCACGAAATTGCGGGTCCACAGCCCTGGTGACAGAAATAGATGCCAAGGAAGGCAGAGGCTCCGGCCCGAGAAAATCGAGCACAGCGAAGGCCTGAGGCAACACAAGCAAAATCCACCACGCCGGTCGGAGCCAAAGAACAGAAAGGAGCACTCCTAGCCTGGTAGGCATGCTGACCGACGAGGCTCCCGACTCGCTTAGCTCTTCAGAGGAGGCCGTAGGCACAGACCCAACGACAGGATGGTCCGGACGGAGAAGAACAACCAGCGGGACTGGGACGGCACCATAAAGTGGCAAAGCCGGGTTTACCTGCTCCTCACGGTGCAAGATAGTAAGTCGTCCCTGCGCACCAGCGCTGGCAATTGTAAGTCCGGCTAATGGCTCACCGTACACCTCAACAGCAAACTGCAACCTTCGCAGCGGTGAGGTGCCGGCCTCAATGGGCAAGACATGCAGACTACCCCCAAGGGGCCGCAAGTCCAATAGCCCCGGTATCTGACCAGCTGGGCAGTCAAGTGCAACAAACTGGACCGCAGGAAGTTGCTCCAACGGCGGCAGCACCCGTGCAAAATGGCTAAAATCCAGCCCTTGATCGCGGCCTTCCTGCAGGAAGTCACCCATGACTGAGGACCTGATGGCCATTTGGTCAGCAAAGGCAGGAGCCTGGGTGTAGACAAGGCCGGCCGGGTGGATAACAACCGCAGTTGCCCCGCTTTGCTGATGGAATGCAACCTCCGACGACTGACAGAGAGGAAGACTCACTGTAAATAGGTCAGTCCCTTCACGTGCAATGGACAAACTGGTCGGACGGTCAGGCACCGGTGGTCGGAGTGCCTGCTCAAGAGGCCACACCTGAAAAGCGTCCCCACAAGGTAACAGTGTAACATAAGCAGCCGGCAAGAACCAACTACCCCCAGCTCGGCACAGAAAAGGCGGCAGATCCGATAGTCCTTGTTGGCGCGCTACCTCTCTGCAGATAATGCTACAGGCTTGAGTACGTTGTGCAGTGATCAGGGAGATGCGGCCGCCCACTGGGCGGAGATCAACTGGCAAAACGGTTTGAAACCACGGAAGGGAGGGACACTGGCACCAGGACATACTGCTCAACTGGCAGGGAGGGTAAATTCTCAACCTGGCGACGCAACAGCCAATCCGAACTCTGAAGCCCGAACGCGGAACAAATCATTCTCAGCAGGAGCGACCCATGCACTCTATCGTCAGTGTGTAACAGGGCTGGGCAGGCCGAGGCAGTCGGTATAAAAACCCCAACATCACGCAAGGGCAGAGGCCGGTTGCACATGCCTGCTTGATACTGACAGGTACCCTGGACACGCACTGGAGCCAACTCGTGATGGTCCGTGGCAGTAGGGACCTGGTTCGTAGTAAAGACAGTATTGCCTCGAACCTGCTCAAAAGGCCAAATCTGTACCGCAGCGGCAGGAGGGGTGCACAAGAGCCACAGGAGCCCCAGAGCCTTTCCTTTGCGAGAGAACCGGGGACATGGCCAACGTATCATGGCACTGAGACACCACGCCGCACAACCCGGAGCCAAAGTGCAAGGGAAAACAAAGACGCCAGCTACTCGCAGGAGTTCGCCAGCATTGCCAAAAGCCTGCCGCAGGACAACGAGCCGTGCAACCCATCGACAGGAGTCGGGAAGGGCAGTGGACCTGTGAACTCGTCCACGCAACCGGCATTCAAGCAGCTGGACAAGCAACAACCACGGCACGAAACAGTAGACCAGCAGAAGGACCAGTCTAGCTATGCTCAAGTCAAAACCACTATAGTCCTTCAGTCCTCTGCCAGCTCGTCGAGTGCTTTCAGTGTTGGCGGGGCGAGAGGCGATGCCCGGAGCAACATGGTCTGCACATGCGGGTCACTGGCAGCCTGTGTGGGCACGTAACCCTGAAAGGGTCCGCCATGCTCGACGAGCAAGGAAGGGTACAACCATTCCTGCACGGTGGCTGGTGCAAAACTGTACGGGTCTAGGACAGTCATGAAGGTTACATGGACGGCCATGAGTACGCCTTGCCTGACCTGAGGCAGCACTGCCGGATTCAAGCGGAGGCACTGGAGTAGCTCCTGCAGGGCCTGATACATACCAGTATGATCGACAGAGGTGGGCGAAGCAACCAGGAGGCGGAGTCCCTGCCATACTTCCTCGGCCCGCTGCAAGGCCGCACTGCAATCGCTGTAGAGGTAGTAGGGCTTCCTGCTCCGGGTTGACTGCCAATTCCCCAATCAGATCCTCCCCTTGCTCGACAGAAAACTTGACAAGATGAAGCCAAGCCTGTGTCCAAAGATCGGAACTGGTCGGTTCTGCCGCAGCCGGGATGAGCTCCTCGTCCTCGTCTATGGCAGTCCGGCCAACACGCCGTACACCATCTGGAGTACGGCCGGTAGCTTCGCGTGGCCAAGGGCCGTCCGTAGGGACGTCTCGCCGTGGACTCTTGGATGGGCAGCAAGTCCCCTGATCCCAGCAAGGGCTCTGCCAACGTAAAGCTCGTGGTCAGTAGCGGGGCTGGTGCAGGCATGGCTGGAGCTGCAGGCGCGTTGCCGAAGGCCCGGAGCCCACCCGCCAACTGTAGGATAGCATCTTCCTGCGCGGCGGACCAGACTGGTCCAATGGTGCTTCGAGCGGAAGCAATGCGCTCCCCAGTGGACAAAGACGGCGAGTTTGGCGCCAATCGCCCGAACTCTTTGGACTAATTGGTCGAGGTGGCTGCTCAGCGACATAGTCCACGTAGATAACGCCTCGCGAAGTGCGATCTTCGCCCGAACGTCTCCTTCCATGCGTTTGCCGAGCTTTGTCACCGCGTTGGCGTGACCCTGTGCCAATTGCTCGGCAGACGCTTCGCCATCTCCCAAAACTGGACCTCTCCAGATGTCCTGAGCAGCACGCGCACTGATTTCTTGTAGTGCTGTGTTCAGGGCGACGGGGTAGCCGAATTCCAGTTTCGAAGTGGGAGGATCTTGTCCTCTCTCATTGCCCTTCGCGGGCTGTTTGCTTGGCTTGGAAGGCCCCTTGGGTGGCATGGGGGCGCGGCTTCCGTGATGTCGGTTGAGGAGCGAGCGATCCCCAGGCAGGCCTGCTCCGCGATGTAGTCGCCTCCGAGCCTGGCTTCGCTTCCGACGGAGTCGGCGATGCCAGGGTGGGCTCGAAGCCCTGGGAAAGGTAAGGTTCCGGAGCTGAACCTATCCACAAAAGAAATATACCAAAGGATGCCAAAAGGAGGATCACCCACACCGGTGACCTCCTTGGCATGAATAAGCAGGAGGGCACCCTCCTGTAACCACACCAGTGTGCAGCCGTATACAATCCCAGACCAGAGTCAAAAGGAGATGGTAAGGTCAGCGAATTTAACCGCAGTGACCAGTCCGGCTCCTGCCGGAAGTCGCGCCCAAAAAACAGGCGGAGACAGCGCGCTGCGAGAAGCAGCCCTGGGGTCGGGTATGCCGGAGCAGGGCCCACACCTAATTAAAGGCGACGGGACCTGGTTCAGGCTCGAGCCACAACGCCTTGGACAAAAAGCCCCTATAATCCTAGTTTCTTTTCAGCACACCTCTCGCAACTGAATTCGGGGGACAAGAGGCACTAATTCATTCTGTTTCCGGCCTCGACGTGTTCAGAGTTACCCGTGTGAAATCACGGGGGATGGCATGCCTTTTCCTCTTGCTCCCGGAGAAGGCCAGTATAGGCACTGCTTGGCTGCACTAGTTACGTTTGGGCACTTTTGGTGATTCTGGGGGGAACAAATACTGGCCTTCTCACTTTACAAGTAAACTCGAGCCCCTTTCTGCAAAACCGACGGGGGATGAAGGACAACCCGCGAAACGCGGGTGTGCGGACACGCACAGGGGGGGCCCCTGGACGCTGGCCCAACCCCTACGCCCGGTAGAGAGAGAGAGAGAGAGAGAGAGACAGAGAGCGAGAGAGAGAGAGAGAGAGAGAGTTGACTGATTGAAACATTCGACAACAGCCAGGGGGACCAGATCATTGCACGAGCCACCACAGCCTTAGCAGACTTGTTGGTGGACACACCAACGGCAGATGAACTCGAAGCACTTGATGACCCTCAACCCCGGGGGACAGCCACAACAAAGCTCCACGCAAGCTGGGGGAACCGGCGCACAGGCTGCCGCAGGACAGCGAAAGCAGATAGTGACTGAAGCCTTGGAAGCAGCGCAAAACTTTCGTAATTTAGGACGAACCATGATGCGCGCCGAAGCACAGTGCATAAGTTATGCCACTGTAGCGCCAATGGTTGCCGCTTTCCTTCGATGGCTGGAAACGGTGCAGCCGGGGGACATAGCCTTGCACCTGCAGTTGCCGCCGGTGCTCACCCCGCTGCGACAAGTCCTCAATGCGATCCTGGACGGAGGTGCCCAGAACGTCAATTGGGCACAAATGGTGGCTGTGGGGGACGCTTTGGACTTTGGAGGTCCTCGTTGCGGCGGACGTCTTCACACACCAAGCAGACGTGCTGCAACAAGCAAGTGCGGGACACGAGAGTCCGTTGGCTGGGCAACAACCAGGTCAGCCACAATGGTGCCACGCTGTTGATGTCATCATGGCCATAACTCCACTTCTTGCCCACCATACAAGAAGCAACGATGCAGTTGCTGCGCGCGGCCTCTCGCCTGATCCCTGAAGAAGCTCGTGGTTTGCCAGGGGAACCGTCAGGGGAACAGCGAGGGACGTCGTCGGAATGGTGGAACAACGAAAGACACCATGGCTTGGGGGACCAGGACAGGGCGACACTACCGCCATCACACGACAGCGAGCTCCGAGACGACCCGAACGACAGTCACCGCAGGAGGCGAAACTTGGTCATCCACCTTCATGAGCAAGGGATCGGGGGACGAACATCGCCCGAATCCTCAACTTGATGTGGAACCTCGGGGAACTCGCCTTCTACACGATCAGCCGCAAGAACTCCTGATGCAGCTGTCAATTGAAAGTGTGAGCCAGGGAGTGTAGCCAGCGAGTGTAGTCGGGGGACACACGAAAGATGCATTCCTTCTAGCAGCCGCCAGCTCATGAGAGTTCTGATATGGGGGAACGCTTTTTCGTGATGTACAATGTACAATTCCTCGACGTAGCAGAAGGAGTCCCAACAGTCACAAGTCATCAACATGCTGAGACAGTTTCCTGTTCCATTTGTCATTCTTGGTTATGCGGGTGACTTCGGGGGACATATGCGCGAAGCCTAGACCGACGAGCTTCCTTCATGAACAATTCTAACAACTCAGCGAAATGACCTGTCTTACTACTTAATGTCTATACTAGTTCTGTTGATACCCTTTTGAGCGCGAGTGTTCCGAGAATTTGGTAGCAAACCTGTGTGATGTGGTTCTGAATGTGATTCCTAGTGCAATCTATTTCTGTGATAGTGGGGGACAGGGAGAGAAGCACAGGCCACTCGAAACATGCAGAGATACCATGTCGGATGTAGCAGAAATGGTCCCCAAACTGGTGATGTTGGGTTTGGATTGTCACTTGTTTCTAATACAGTCACTACTTTGCAATGGGGGACCATCAAGACAGACCATAGCCTTGCAGCCGTGGAGCGGCCAAACGGCAACCCCGGAGAACGGTGTTGTTGGGTCATTGTTTAGTTACTTCTCGAGTCACACCGTATCGTGTTGGTAACGAACCAAGGGGGGACGCCGACTGGTTTCACTATGGGCCAACACACAGGGGGCATGTACCTTAGTGATTTTCATGGAATTTTTCATATAGCATGTTATTAAGAAACAACCGCCCGAAACAACTGCCCGTGTGACGCGCAAGAGCAGCCTCGATTCTGCAAAACTGAATATGGCACAATAGTGGAGCTTGTATCCCCTATGGAAGTTTGTTGCTTGAAGCTACGTGAGGTTTGTTGCTTGGATGATGATTAAGTACTTTCACAAAATGGGGAACCAAGCCACCTTGACGCCATACTCATCGTACCTGCATGTTTGCGGAAACAGTTAAGGAACCCGGTTAGTCCATAGTCCAATAGATTCTCCCTACTTAAACCGGGGGACTTACTGTGTTCTCACGCCTTCCCATAAGCCCCATAACACATGAACCGGACCAGAAGTGCATGAGCAAGTGCCAAGAAGCACCAGGGTCGTGATGCCGCCATTACGACTACGAGTACCGGGACAAAGTGGCAGAGCCCTCTTCGATACCACGTCGTGTTGTGCACCAGCCCAAAGTTGCACCCGAAAGCCGGTTTGGCACAATATGTGATCAAAGCAGCTATCCGACTTGACCGGGGCCTCAAGACAAAATGAGCAGGAACTGCTGTGGTTCGGCGTTTTTCCTTCCATGTACGTTGCTGGGAACACCCCAACCGCCGGAACAGGAGTCCGGAAAACATGCCATCGAGAAGTTCTTTCCAGTACAGTACACACCTTCCTGATTCACCGTTTATGGGGTCACCTACTCCATTTCGTCACGACAGAATGCTGTGCCTGCAGAGTGCAAAGGCCTGAAACAACCGATAATTCAGGCAGGTTTTTGCCTTCCGTGCCGGTCTTGAGTTGCTTCAGCGAGCAAACACGCCCCACCCGGGCTCGCTCAAGAGGGGCACCTGCCTTTGCAGCTCCTTGGAGTGCAGGTTTGGGACTGCCAGTCCTTCAAGCCCCTAAGCAAGGGAAAGAACGTTTGCCTCCAACTCCCCGGGTCTTTCTTCCGGGGCGATTGCTGGACAGGGTGAACCAGATCCAGCACAAAGCCGTACAGAGCGGGCTCGTTGTGCAAAGATCCCGGAGGGTGACCGCATGTGACCGCAATTGAAGACAAGTTGTTCCTTCATCCGTTTGTGCGTGTTACTTGGACACGTTTGGCGATCCTACGCCCTACGCACGATCTTCCGAGACCCACCCCTCTGCTGGAAATGAACTGAAACAGCGAGCTCGGGCAACTCCGTGCAAAGACATCGGACTTCACTGTTCAACGCATGTGCTTTGTGTGCCTGTTGGTGTTGTTGATGATTGTGACAGCACGTTGACGTCCGATTTGCCCCGTCAGTACTTCGCCATTGGCACTCGCACACCCAGTGTGGACCTGATCAACTGCCCCAGCTTCCCCAGCTCAGGCAATGCCGCAGACGGAGTCACGACAGGATTCCCTATCATCTGCGACTCCGCACATTTGAACTCCTGCCGAGTGCCCGTGTTGCAGGAGCCCAGCCCACCTCTGAGGTCGGCTTCGGTGTCTCGACTTGAGCAGCCGGGTGGATCTGGAAATCTCGCTTTCCGACCCGAGGAACCCGCGCTGACCGTCTTCAGCTTGTAAGCTGACTTGCTTCTGAAGCAGTTTTGGCGGCAGCCTCGGTCTGGGCATACTTGAGGCAGATATTGGCAGTTGTCGCAAATGTTGCAAGGAAATGCGCAGGGAACTTCGCCCTACAGCGCTGCCCGCGACTGCAAAGCAGTGAAATGCTTAGAGCTGGCGGCCCCGAGGGGCCAGGCGCATTCCTGTGCATGACAGGCCACCAAAGGCTCAGTGAGCGGCCATTACAGGGTGGCTAGTGGTGCATGCTTCTTGCACTCGGCATACGGGCTGATCACAACCACATTATATTTGCTTCAATGTGGAGCTTCTGCCTGCGTTGGTGCCGCTTAGATTGGATTTCCGTTTGAAGGAGATTGTTTCCTTCTCCAGCCGTAGCTCGGCACCGCAGAAGGCCATCCAAAGAGATGGCAGATGTCACCGTACCAGGTAACCATTGAAGCATAAGTATCGGCTGTCATAATAGCATAGGGATGGACAAATGATGCCACTGGCACAGGCGACAACAACTGGCGGCAAGATCACAGACCCACGTCGCTTCGTTTCGAGCACAAACCGAATACGTAGGACAGCATACAAGTTTGATTTTTTCAGCATGAATGACCCCGACTTCGAACGGCTATGCCCTCTGGCAGGTGTTCTCGGAAAATCACGTATTGAGACGAAGCGTGCTGGACAAAATCATCGTCACCATGATCATCGCCGTCGTCTTCGTATCAGTGTTACCGCAAGTCCAGGGTTCCGGAAG